GCAAGACGATTCCTCTCCTTAGACCACTGCATTTGAATTAAAGAGAACAGCCTTTCCACATTAACATTATGTGTGGGAATGGCAAAGAAGAGCTGTGCTATTTTCAGGAGCTCAGAGTGACACTCAACACTTTTTGATGATTTGAAGTACTGAGACCATTTTTCATGATATGGTGCTGACTTCGTTCCCTCATTATTATACGTAGCTATGAATGTTTTCAGAATGCAGAATTGGTTGAAACACTTGCTATCATCAATGTCAATTCCTTTATCCATCAGGTATTTGATGGATGATTCAATTTCTGTCCGTGAGAAATTTTCAAGTTGCATCCATTTGAAACACGAAAACTCCTTATATGGTTCAATCCACATATCCAAGTATTCCAAGCAACCATTGTACAGATTTTTGACGTCACTTAGAAAATGTTTACACTCTGCTTCCAGGCCTTCATTCTCTCTCTCTCGAAATAGAGCTTTCACCTTCAGTGACACATAGTTTTGCATTTTTCTTTCTTGTAGGATGTTGTGCATATCAGATAAGATATTCAGGATTTCAAGCACAGAATTCTTTTCCCTTTCAGTAGACCCAATATGGGAATGAAACACACATTAATGAATGGAGATGCAAGAGATATATTTCACTAAATGGGTCAGTGAAAAATTTCTTGAGAACTGCTGATGACTTGTTCTGAGATAAGAAGAATGATTTTAGAGCTGGGAACATTTTTATAAGTCTTTCAATTACTGGGAATAATGAAAGCCAACGAGTCTTGGAGTGATACAACAACTGTTGATATTCAGTGTCAACAAACTCATAAAACTGTTTAAGAGACTCTACTGTAACTGTATATATAGAAAAATAATTGTACACCTTTAGCACAATTGATTCTATGTCAGTTTGTAGAGTGTCTGTGCCATGCTGCATACAGTTGTTTAAGACGTGTGCAGGGCGCCCAACCCCTATCGGAGAGGGCTTTAATCTCTTCAGATTTGCAAACACATTTCTTCCACCTCCTTTTTTTTAGACCACCAAACATAGTGTTGCAGTTGTCACCTGCAAATGCTACAGATTTACTTAGAAGACCATGATTACTAAGAGTCTCACTAACATACGCAGCAATTGCATCTGCTGTTTCATTTGGTTGACCTTGCACTTCCAGTAACTTTATTTGCAGTCCGTCATTTTCATAGTCGAAGTACTGGACCATTAATGGAAATACCTTAACCGCACCATGGTGACTTGCATCCGTAGATACACCACAGAATGGATTGCCCTGCAAAGATTTAATTAGTTCCTTTACTGAATGAGGAGCTAACAGTTAACAACTGCTTCTGTTTTCGTATGAGCACTTGATATTTTTTTAGCTATTTCAGAGTCATTAAACAATTCTCTAAGTAATTTAGACGTGCAGTCCATGGACTTGTAGCTGTTGTGGTGTGCTACAGTATGGAAAGCAAGTGTGCCTTCTGCAGCACATTTTTGTCAATTTTGGTATTAGGCATGAAATATTTAGTCAATTTTTTGGAAGAACTCTCCCCTCTAACATTCTTAGAATGTTTTTCGGACTTCATATGAATTTTTAAATCCCCGCTTCCTTTGTTGGCTATTGAGACATGTGTCCCTGGAGTACAGATCATGCATTCTGCTTCGCATTCCATGCGACCAGAGCAAAAACGCAGGTATTTTTTCTTCAATTCATCTGTGAATTTGCACTTTCTCTTCGGCATTATTCTCTTGAAGTAGTGCTATAAAAAGATAAGGAAAAAATCATAACCAATAATATGTAACGTGGATCAGCATATAAGATTAAGAGTACACTTATATATCATACCATTCTAATTTAGTATCTCTATTCCTACCTGTTATTGATTTCCTTAATTGTTTACAATCACAAAACACCACTTATTTTAGATTAAAACTTATGATGACACGATGTTAAACGACTCTACAACACATGTGAAAACCAACCAGTAAGCGAAGCAATCCTGCAGTCCAGACTAAGGAACGGGAAGTGAACACCGATTAGTCGAATGAATACTCCCTTTACAAGGAGAAGATACATGAATAAAGCAAAGATGCTAGGCAAAAAGGAGAAGGAAGTTGAAATACGGCCAACTTCTGGACATTTGCCCTAATTTTGTAAATTCCTCCTGGACGGTCATTTACCCCTTGAAAATGAGGACGTATGGTAACCCTATGTATTACTAATGTTGAACTGTATTAGTGGCCATAAATATAAATTTCTTTTGGTTTTTGTGTTTCTTTACATTTTAATATTAGTCTTAAAATGTAAAACATTGTAATTCAGAGGTTAAAAAGTTAACAGTTGTTTTTTTCTGTCTGTGATGATATATTGTCAAGTAGAGGGGTTTTCTGGAAATCTCTGTTGTTTTTTAATTATGTGCACCTTAAAATAGATCATAGATGTTCTAATATATAATTTTGAGTGGTGTGTAGTCATATAGTAAATGTTTGCTTACACATTACATGGCAGTTTTCTGCATGTAATTCACTATTGAAAAAGTAACACAATAAACTAAATTACCTAGATTTAACTAACAACCAGTTAATATGCGGTACATACCAAAAACCCATTACTGCTGATTTAATTATACATAATAAATCATGCCACCCATATGAACATCAGAAATCCTCCATAGACTACTTAAGTAACTGAATGAACATCCAATTACTCATGAAGATAAATACCAAGAATTGTAAACCATTCAAGGAATATTAAAAAACAGCGATTATTGGCAACAAAAAGTACACCAAAAACAAGACACAGACTTCTTACCAATGACTCACAAGAGAGACAAAAGTCAAAATGGGCCACATTCACATGTTACAGTCCCAATACAAGAACAGTCACAAAATTTTCAAGAACACTGGCATAAGAATACAATTCAAAACTACTAACACAACATGAAACCACCTAAAACAAAGAGAGGGAACAATAGACACATACAACCAAAGTGGAGTATACCAATTAAAATGAAACAAATGTCCTCAGATACGTAGAACAAACAGGACATATGTTTAAAATCCAATATAAAGAATATCTGAGCCATAAAAACTGACAGAGCTGAAAATACTCTCAACGTATATTTGACACGTGACACACACATAACACAATCAACCAAGCTCTAGAAATGCTACATATTGAAAAGAATACATCATCAGGTATTTAACTTTTTCATTTTCACCTTTATTTGTCAGCTAGTATTCTTACATATTGCAGTGTTTATGTACTGTTTCTTTAGTGGCATGTATCACATGTCCAAGTTTCTGTGACTAATAATAACGGGTTCTGAATTGGATGATTCGATTTATTGGCACTTCTATTGCAATTACTCTTAAACACAATCAATTATATGAGCTCACAATCAATAACTACCTTNATTGGATGATTCGATTTATTGGCACTTCTATTGCAATTACTCTTAATCACAATCAATAACTACCTAAGACTCGGTCTATTCCTTATTGAACTATGAGTGTCTTTTCTTCCAGTGTGACTGACTTGGTTCTGGTTTATAAATCAGTCACTTTTGAATTATGAACGATGAATACCGAATGACGACTGGCAACTGAACTCTCAAATTTGAGTCTGAGTCAGTCATATATTACAACCAACGGTCAGTCAGACTGTCTGGCTTGGAATATAGCACCCATCTGGTGCTTACAACCAGATTTTTATTACTGTCAGACAGTTGCGAGTTTGTTGATGTGGGGCGCTCTCTGATGAGATGACAGGTCTGCATTTACAATTGCTGCTGGCACTCACCAGTGCAATCATTCTCACGTCCAAGTCCTGTGGGACTTGCGACCATATTTTACTGTCCCAGATTCGAGACTTCCCTTTTTTGTTGCCTCCTACAACTCACAGGGCTATGGTAGAGGTATTTGACCCCACCTCCACATGGGAGTGACCACTCTCAAATCAGTTAAATGTCCCCCTTTTATAACTTCAGGCCAAACCAAATAGAGATCACCGCCTCTTAACAGTTCTTCTGTTATTCTGTGCTTGTCTGTTGCTGTGAAAATGTGTGTTAATTTCATAGCAGTGCTCTGGTTTCTACAAGCTTATCTGTTGGTGTAGACACATGTTATAGTGAACCGTTTTCTAGCAGTGTACATCTCTGTCTTGTGCGTGGTAGTTTTAGTTTCACAGCCACCACATATGTATAAGACATAACACTTCTCCCAAATACAAGGAACACAGATAAGGAGAAAATGCAATCTTATACATACAAACAACAAAACATGTACTACATCAACATAAGGCCAGAGAGAACCCCAAAGAAATACATCGGTAGAAGTGACGCACCTACACACAATTACTACGTCCAGACAAAGCATAAGAAAACCTTTGGTATAAGTTTATTTTAGTGATTTAACATTTTAACAATTAATATTTAATCTTAGAGGTGAACACACCTTTTTATATATAACAGCATTATGTACCACTAAAAAAACAGTATGTAATCACTGGCCAATGTAGGAATATTAGCAGAAGAATACAAGTGAATTTAAAAAGTCAAATACCTGATGATGGCTTAAGGTGCAAAAACATATTAAGAAATGACAAATGTATGGTGTGTCCATACTACTTATTGTAATGTAATAAAGTAAAGAAAGGGTAGTTAATAGGTGGGTGAACAATATTAGAATGGATCTTATAGAGATAGGATTGGATGGTATCGATTGGATAGATCTGGCTCCAGATAAGGACCAGTGGAGGGCTCTTGTGAACACAGTAATGAACCTTCGGGTTCCATAAAATGCTGGGAAATTCTTGAGTAGCTGCAGAATTGGCGGCTCCTCCAGAAGGGCTCAGCTCCATTAGTAAGTAAGTAAGGGTAGTTAATAGCTCTTCACATATACATGCTACATGTTGCAGCATGTAAAATTTTGTTCTGCTTCTCTCTCATATCAATTCTGTTACTGTCTGAAGCATAAAATTGTGTCTTTATATTATAGTGTCACTTCTTTTGCAGGTCACAACAGGACAAACTGCCCAAACAAATAGAACTGATGACAAATATGCTCTATGGAAAATAATTTTATAGCTATCAGAATATTTTTATAATAAGGCATGGAAAAAAGACAGAGAGCAAGCACATGTCTGTATGAATATGTATTTGTACTTGTGAGTCATACACTGGCTTCTGTACATCCTGTCAGAAGGAAGTATTAGAACTGATGAATGAACGAAAGCTGTTATATTTGTCAGAATGTTTGCAGAAAACTCATAAAGGTGTCAGTGGAATATTAAAACCAGTATGGCTAGGAAGTCAGTTGCAGTTGAGAGTCATGAGTTAGTTTGGAGATGGTAGCTAGCTAGCAAGAGCATGAGCATGGAAGCAGAAGAATCTCCATTGTTGGGAGCCATTACCTAGCAACAACTACTGAAGATGTGGAAGACTTCATATGTGTTTTAATTACAGTGATCTTTGTAGAGTGTTCATCAGTGAGACTGTTATAGGTACTTATAGTGATGAAATGAATAAATCCATTTATCGATCTCAACCCCATGTCTAGTCATAAAAACATTACAATATATTATATGTTTCAGGAACTGTTGATGTGTATGCCTAGGAACTTTGCTTTTTGCTTCTCAATGAACTATGTCATCAAAACCATTATCGGCACTAGTACTTCATTCAGCATACAAAATTTGATTATTTGAGGTGCGCCACAGTAACCACAGTCATTGTAGTGACTGGTCACTGGCTGGACTTTCAAGGTATGATTATTTGAAATGTGACGCACTGACCACAGTCATTGTAGTGACTGGCCACTGGCTGGACTTCCAAGATTTGATTATTTGGGGTGTGACACACTAACCACAGTCTCACAGTCAGTGTAATGACTGGCCACTGGCTCGACTTTCAAGGTTTGATTGTTTGAAATGTGACACAATGACTGCAGTCAGTCTAATGACTGGCCACTTTGCTGGACTTCCTGCTTGATTATTTGAGGTGTGACACAGCAATCACAGTCATAGTGACTGACCACTTTGCTGGATTTCCAGTGTTAGATTATTTGAGATGTGTCACAGTGGCTGCAGTCATTGTAGTGACTGACCATTTGGCTGGACTTCCAGTGTTCGATTATTTTAGCCATTTGGTTCCATAAACAGTTGTCCCAGGTGACTAAAACTTAAGTAAGATATGGCCTCACATTCACTTAGGTTATGTGTGGCTGATTCATCTTTCTCTTGGCACCTTTCACAAATAGGTTTATCTGTCAGTCCCAGTTTGAAGAGATGTCCGTTAAAGTGACAGTGTCGTTCAAGTAGTCCTAACCCATTGCAGCTGGTTTCTGCTTAATTTTAGCATCTCCTTCATTCTTCTGGCAGAGGGTCCTTGTATAAGTCCTTTTGCCTCTTTGAGTCCAGTTAAGGATTCCCAATATTTTTGATGATTTCTTTTTTTGCCATCCCTTTCGCTTTCTTGGCAACTTTTACTGAGATGCCACAAGCTGGTTCAGGTTCTGTGAATGGATGTTCAGATCCTGTCTTTGCCAGTTGATCTGCTATTTCATTACCTGGCACCCATGTCAGTTGAACGCTGTTACATTTGGCCAGTTGTATGAGGGATTGATGGCAGTCCCAGGCCAGCTTTGAGGTAATCTAGTGGTTTGCAAAGTGCTTTAATTGCAGCTCGACTATCTGATAGAGTATACTACCATAGTCAATAAGTTCGTGGACTGGACACACAGCGTCATTGCAATGCACTACATTGGATCGGTTGAGGCATGATATGAAGCCCTGTTAGTTCATCTCTCATCACAGAAAGAGGCAGTTGTGTGCAAACAGTGTAAGCAGAACTATTGCCTCTATTGTGAACTGCAGTTAAATGCAAGTGGCGAAGATCTAAAATGTGGCAGTTTGAACAACAGGCAAACATCAAGTTCATGCCAAAACTAGGCAGATTCCATGGGCGTATGGGGTTTCAACTGCTTNAGAGTATACTACCATAGTCAATAAGTTCGTGGACTGGACACACAGCGTCATTGCAATGCACTACATTGGATCGGTTGAGGCATGATATGAAGCCCTGTTAGTTCATCTCTCATCACAGAAAGAGGCAGTTGTGTGCAAACAGTGTAAGCAGAACTATTGCCTCTATTGTGAACTGCAGTTAAATGCAAGTGGCGAAGATCTAAAATGTGGCAGTTTGAACAACAGGCAAACATCAAGTTCATGCCAAAACTAGGCAGATTCCATGGGCGTATGGGGTTTCAACTGCTTAGTTGATAGGACAAGATTCTGTGTCAGGGAAACTTCTGGGCCTTGCTTGCACAAGGGGCTAAAGAACACTTGAAACACACACTTCACTCGACACTGTCCCTTTTTATTGCAGATGTGAAAGAGATTTACCTATTACAAGGCTGTAGCACTGTTTTACAAACTTAGTAGTGAGTGCCTGGTCACTACAGTGACACTCAATAGCCGTTGTATATGTTAGCCTATCCTACGGGCTATTCCATTACAACTGACACACCCATAAGTTTCTTTGTTGTATCAGTTCTTCGCCCATGTGAGTTACCTGGGGGGGTCACACAGCTATTCACTCCCGCAGCTTAGCTGAGTAATTCTCATTTACGCTGATCGTGTTCTCGCTTGCTGGCTACTTGGTCAGATGAGGTTGGTATTTTTCACTTGTAGCGACTTTGCGCTTATAGGATTTGTGTATCTGTCTTGGGCAACACTGATTTAATGGCCGAGAGGTCCAAATGTTGCGATGCTACTACTGTTACTCTCTTAGACTACTGATTGCTCTGGAGATTCAGAAGTCTTGTCGGTTTCAGGAAGGCCCGGTTTCCTCTCTGAATTGGGGTGTTGGTCTCATTTTCATTCTGCCAATCCCTAATGAGATCCAAATAAATTTGGACCTAAGTACTAGACGGTCCCTCTCTCTGAAAATTATGACAAGCCATTTCTGTCAAGTCACAAATTTTCCAAGACTCATACCCCCGAAGTTCAGCATTGAAATTCGCAGAAAACACAACGGGATACTTCCTGTTCTGTTCTGTGTCTACAAGTTACATGCAGGTTGCTTGTCTCTAAGACAGACCAGATGTCGTTCTTGGCGACTGCTGGTGCTGGGGTCAGTCGTGTTTCATCCTTTGTTATCTGGTATTACATTTCATTTATGTGTAGTAGCTTATAATTAATAATGTAAATGAACAGCATTGATGATGTTCCTTCGTGGTGCGGTTACAGCCTATCCACAAGTTTCTGCATTGTTTTCGAAAGGAAAGAACAGGCTCATAGGAGGATAAACCTTGGCATTGGTATAATTGGCTGTCCCAGGCTTTGGAATAAATTTCACTGTAACTTGCTTGCAGGCTGTAGGAATAAATCCAATGACATGCAAGCTCTGAATATGCGGCACTGATGTCGGACTAAATGTTCCATCCCTTGCTGCAGGAGTACCAGTACAGTTTCATCTCTTCCCACTAATTTAAATGGTTTGAAGGTACCTAGCGCTCATCTAATTTTTGATTGATTGATTACATATTTGGCCAGGTTCCAGTCTCCCCTATTTGTTATGCTTCTGCATATGTGCTGGTTCTACTGACCCTGTCCATAAATAACTGCCGTCATTGTGGTGACTGGCCACTTGGCTGGACTTCCAGTGTTTTAATTATTTGAGGTGTGACATAGCCACAGTCATTGTAGTGTCTGGCCACTTGGCTGGACTTCCAGTGTTTGATTATCTGTGGTTTGACAGAGTAACTGCAGTCATTGTAATGACTGGCCACTAGCTGTGCTCCAAGGTTTGATTATTTGAAGTGTGACATCAACCATAGTCATTGTAGTGACTGGCCACTGTGCTGAAGTTCAGTGTTTGGTTATTTGAGGTGTGACAGTGACTGCAGTCATTGTAGTGACTGGCCACTGGCTGCATTTAAAGGTTAGACTATTTGAGGTGTGACACACCAACCACAGTCATTTTAGTGACTGGCCACTGGATGCACTTTCAAGGTTTCACTACTTGAGGTGTGACAGAGTTAACCACAGTCAAATTGGTGACTGGTCACTTGGCTGGACTTCCAAGGTTTGATTATTTGAGGTGTGACACACCAACCAAGGTCAGTGTAGTGACTGGCATCTTGGCACGATTTCCAAGGTTTGATTGTTTGTGATATGATAAGCTCAGCCAGTGCAGTGATTGACCATGGGCTGGACTTGCAGGATTCAATAGCAAATAGTGAGCCAGGATAATTCAGTCAGCAGTGGTTGCCTACCAACTGCATAGCTGGCATCCTGTTACTAAAGTTGAGCTGAAGTAGCTGAGTCGGTATAGTAAATTTTCCCCACTTAATGAATGAGGTTTCCTAGATTATTTCCTGTGCATATTTGCACTAATGCATCTGTTTGACATTTTTTGTGGATTCTTAAAATTGTTAGCCATATTGGATGCTCAGTTGAAAATTCACATCTCCACTGTTTTTGTACTTAATGCACTTTGTGCATTAAAATGTATATATATATATATATATACCGTATTTACGCGTGTATAGGCCGCAGCACAATTTTCAGACAAATTATAGAAAAAATATGTAAGATTTGAGGCTTTCACGGCGGTGACTATGAAGAAAGCAGTCTTCTGGGATTTGGCACCGTGTATATGTGGTGTTAACCGACGTTTCGGAGGAACGTATCGCCTCCATCTTCAGGGTAGAAGAAAAAGTATA